CGACAGAGGTCACGTCTTATTCCAGTTGCACATTCTTTCTCATCCATCACCACATTAAGTATGTAAGAAGTGGAGTTTGGTTTCAGTGCCCAGATTTGCTGGTTAGTACCTGAGGTAAACTCTTGTACTTTTTTGATGTTGTTTGTCTGAACTAAACCTCAAAAGACGAGGTGTGGTTTGCAAAAACAGCGCTGAGGGTATCAGACGCTATAGCATACCTCATTTAGTTTGTTGCAGATATGACAGAAAAATAACCAGAACGATGTTGCAGTAGCCGTAGTGCAGATGTTAATTATTTCCTCAAGACAGGAACCTTACAGAAGTGTAATATCCCTCGCCAGCAGACCTTAGGATCCCAATTTGGTCCCAAGATTCCAGCTATCGAACACCAGTTGACAGCTTTGTGTAAAAATGGCTAAACGCACTTGCCATTTCCATTTGGTGTCGTTATTCCATTTTAAATGTCGAGAACGCCATGTATGAAATGTCATTTTCTCGAGGTCTGTGTGGTTTGGGCTTCAGGTGGGCTACAATTTATAGATTTTCAAAGTGTGCTTGGAAGATGACCTTATTGCAACAATCTGTGCTGTCTGTTTTCGTCTGTTTAAAATTGAATTTATTTATTTTATCTATATATTATATTTTTACTATTTGTTTGATCACGCATTACTTTCATGCATTTATTTCGTAATTATTTCAAGAGCTCTTAACACTTGCTTTGCATTGTACAAGTAGCTAATTACATGTCCTTGTCTCTCTTTCTCTCATATTTGTACTATATGAGACATCTGAGGCACTAATTCCACAATCATACTTGCTGTCACATTCAACTTTGGTTGAAATTAAACAGGATAAAAGCCAGCTGCGTGTGCACATCCTCTAGCTGCATTGTAATGTGACATCTGTTTGTCATTGATTCTCGTGCATTAAAAAAAAAGGTTGTGGAACAGCTAATGTTAGGCCTGGATGAACATTAGCACACTTTTAATCTCTTGATGACAGCCAGTACACAAAAGAGTCCACTAACCTTTCTAAATGAGTGATTTTTGTCTTTCTAAATGAGTGATTTGCAAATTAACAATTGGATTGATGAACCCATGCTTGTTTAATTTATATATTTTTACCTTTGCACTGAGTTACTTGATAGCACACAAAATTGAGACAGCCGTCATTCTACACAAATCTCCCATTCGACATTGCACTGAAATCATACATTTCATGTGCCCACTGATCCGCTATGTCCTTGAAATATACCACTAGACAGTCAGTCTGTTATAGCTGTACCAGTAACTGGCAAGTATGAACTCTCTGCCTTAAGTTCTTCTCTTACAGTATGGTACTCTATGAGAGAAATCATTATGTACAGGAAACCAATACCAGTTTGTACAAAATATATGAATTATTTATTATTTGAATTGGGATACATTGTTTACTTAATGAATGTTACTTGTTTATGTAGAGAGCGGTTTAGCTGTAATAAAACAAATACATTAAAATCTTTTCTATTTCTGTCTTATCTGTATTTTGGTCTTTTTGTTTGACCTCTGGTTGCAGAAAGAAGGTTACTTTCTATGCTTTTTTCAGGGTGTAATGAAACCAACTCTAACAATGAGAAAAAAAAAGGTTATTTCTTAGTTGTGCATTGGGTGAATTATTATTATTTTAAACTGTTAGAAATACATTACAGGTGCTAAATCACTATCACACAGAAATTAAAAATAGCCTATGTTTATAAAAAGGACAAAATTTAATAAAATGACTGTTCGCTTGGGGTTTTTGATTTGATTTGCGAAAAGCTGGTATTATTTAAATCGGTAGATTCTCTTGATTCATTTCATATTTATTAGCACCGAAGGTGCGTAGGCACGTATTGTATCCGTTGGCCGTCGCCGCCTCTTTCTTCTTCTGCTCGAGTCTATGGCAGGAAATTTATGAAATTTGGTACACTGATAGAGGACAGTCTCATCATTAACCACAGCAAATTTGGTGTCTCTAACTCAAACTCTCTAGCGCCACCACTTGTCCAAAGTTTCACTCATATTTATGCTAATAACTTTTGAACCATAAGGTCTAGAAGAAAAATTTGTTTTCTTCTGAATCCTTGGCTCATGGCAAAATTAAAAATTTGTAAGGTCAAGATTCTTCTGAATTTTTTTAATAGTTTGAAAAACCTCATTTTTTAAAAACCATCCTAGATAGTTTGTCTGATTTTCACCAAATTTGGCTCCGATTATCTTCAGACCATGCTGGCAAAAAGTTCTAGAATTCAAGTTCATCCATCAAACCGTTCTCAAATAACACATGAACGAATTCGACAAAGACCACGCAAAAATGGATGTGAGGCTATATCTCCACAACGGTATTGAGACCAAACTTGGTGTGTGTTATAATAACCATGACCTGAGGCTATCTGCACAGTTTCGGTGCAGTGCCACCTAGTGGTCAGGAGATATGAAAAAAGGCTATTTTTGCTAATAACTTCTGAATGGTTGGGCCACAAACTGGTCACAAAAATGGTCTCTTTAGATTTGGTGCAGCATGCCGAGTCGAACCATACCCAATTTTCCCATGTCAGCCATTTTGGGTGTCGGCCATTTTGGATTTTGTTGTAAAATGTTATATTTTACGAATGCATTGGCATATCATTACGAAACTCGACATGTGTCTTCAGCATCATGCCCTGATGGTACTGAAGAAGTTTCAGAGCAGTGCCACCTTGTGGTCAAAAGTTATAATTACATTTTTTTTAAATGATAACGTTTGAATAAATTGGCCTATTGTAATGAAACTTTATATTCTCAATATATTCTACGGGTCATGCCGAGAACATAGATACCAATTTTGCCATAGTCAGCCGAACTTCCGGTCCACCATTTTGTTGAAAACCTAATTTTTCGAACTCCTCCTAGACCGTTGGTCCAATTTTCACCAAATTTGACTCTTTGAATCTTCAGACCATGCTGGCAAAAAGTTAAGGATTTTGTGTTGATAGTACACAAAAGGTTATTGTTTACCGCATCACCGAATTTGCTGGAATATGATGCCAAATTGCATCTGAGGCTGTATCTCTGTAAAACTTTGACATATTGACACCGAACTTGTGCCATTGTCACCTTACACTGACCACGCCACATCAAAAGCGATTACAGCGCCGCTTATTGGTCAAAAGTGATAAACCATTCATTAACCATTAATAATGAAATTTCCCAAAATTCGAATAACTTTTGATTGCAGTAGCCTATTGTAATGAAACTGGTCTCAACACATTCCTTGGCTTATGCCAACAACATAGATACTAATTATGCCATAGTCGGCTGAACTTCCTGTCCGCTATTTTGATTTTTGTTCAAAACCTGCTTTTTTTTTTAACTCCTCCTAGACCGTTTGTCTAATTTTCACTGAAATTGAGTCAGATCATATTCAGACTGTGCTGACAAAAAGTTATGGATTTCGTGTTGATAGACAAAGTCGTTTTGGAGGCATTATGCCAGACAACGTCTGAGGCTGTATCTCTGCAAAGCTTTGGCATATTGGTACCAAACTTTGTATGTGCCATTGTCACCTCACACAGAACACACCACATTGATTTGATAACAGCGCCACCTATTGGTCAAAAGTGATAAGCCATTAAATCACATTACTAGTGGTTGTTTTTATGATTTTTCAGCCATTTTGAATAAAATCATCTTAAAATGGCTTCAGTTACTCATTGCTACAGTTGGTCTGATGCTTGCTGCCTTGCTTGCTTCTGCACTGCTTGGCCCCTTAATTGCTGCTTGCAGCTTTATTTATTATGAGTAATTGTTCATCACAAATGAACGCACAAAATCTACAACTATAGTAAGCACAAACACTTTTTATGCTATATTTATATATTATGTATTCATATAATATTTTTTATAATATTCATATAATATTTAATTATTAATAATAATTAAATTAATATTTATATATTTCTTTATTAAATATATAGAAATATATTTGATGTTTTATGAAAGTTTATGGACTAATTGTAGATTTCTAAACCACTTTCAAATGAATATGGGAATATTGTCAAAACCATACAAGGTTAAATCATAGATTTTTATTTTCAATTAAACTTTTAAATTAAAGATATATACACTAAACAGGGGTTCTCAACTCTGGCCCTCGATGTCCACTTTGCTGCAGAGTTTACCTCCAACCTTGGTCAAACTCTAGTGATCCTGAAGCCCTTGATGAGCTTGTTCAGGTGTGTTTGATTAGAGCTGTAGCTAAACTGCAGGAAAGTGGACCTCTAGGGCCAGAGTTGAGAAACCCTGCTGTAAGAAATCCGTAAAAATAGGGCAGATGTTTTACCTGTAATTTGAATTTTGTAGTGCATTGCGTTAGTTTTTTTTTTTTTTTTTACAATAGCGTTTTTTTCTGTGATATTCTTTTATTTCTATATAGGAGTACTTTCTGTTGAGGTTCATCCGAGTTTAGGTAACGAATAAACGCAGTAGCTTTTTAAACAGTTTTTGTGTTATATTTGTGCTGTCTATGTATAATCTAATCAAAATAAGTTTCCGTGCTTCATCGAATGGTGATACTGTGAATGTGCTCGAGAAGCTTACTGTTGCCATGATGGTTACATCGCTAACGCTGTTACTGTTCGCGAGCATCTCTTTACCGCCAGGAAAAATTATTGTAATCTAACTTTTGTGATCATTGAAATGTTTTGGAACCCCACTTGAAACGCAGATATAGTCAGACCTACTTATGCATATAAAGACGTACTTAAATCCCCTCCCACATTCCCAAGGGTTTAAACCCCCACAATTCCCACCAGCTGACATACATGTCAAAACTCTCCAACCAATCTTTGCTCAGCAAGGGCGGGTAATACCAAAACGTGTGTATCTATGGATATATATTAGTAGAAGAAGCGCACGGCTGGTGGGCTAACCGCTGAGAAAACCTCTTCTACACAGCTGAACGCTGGCTGAGCGCAGCTGGAACGCGCTATTGGATGCTTAACCATGGGTGACCCTTTCAACAGCAGCAGCAGGGTGTTTAACCGAACCCCTCAGGGTCATGTCACATTTGGAAATCTGGAGGACATAGACGTGACCGCGGACAGAAGCCCGGTCCTAAGGATCATGGTCTCAGTGGTGTACATCCTCGTGTGCGCAATAGGCTTAGTTGGGAATTCGCTCGTCCTTTTCGTCATGAGAGTGAAACACTGCAGACAGAGCACCACCATTAATGTGTTCATCATTAATTTAGCTGTCACAGACCTCCAGTTCGTCCTGACGTTGCCGTTTTGGGCGGTGGATACCGCTCTGGATTTCAGCTGGCCGTTTGGAGACGCCATGTGCAAGATCATACTGTCGGTCACTGTGATGAATATGTACGCCAGCGTCTTCTTCCTCACTGCTATGAGCATCACTCGATACTGCTCCGTGGCTTCAGCCACCAAGAACAGTGTCCGTCCCCCAACCTCCTGCTCTGTCAAATGGGTTTGCGCATTTTTGTGGGTCTTTGCTACCGTCGCCACCGCGCCAACGTCTATTTTCTCCACTGTGACCAACGTGGCTGGAGAGAAGCTCTGCTTACTGAAGTTTCCTGCCGGACATTATTGGCTTGCCTTTTATCATTTGCAAAAAATCCTGGTTGCTTTTGTTTTGCCCATGTTGATCCTTTCCGTGTCCTATTTGCTGCTTCTGAGATTTGTGAGAAAGCGAAATCTGAATAACAGTCATTCAAAGCGCAGGATTCATGTCACCAAATCTATCACAGTTGTGGTTCTTTCATTCTTTCTTTGCTGGATGCCGAACCACGCAATTACATTTTGGGGTGTTTTGGTAAAGTTGAACGTGATTCACTGGGATGAGGCGTATTATATTGTCCATACTTATGTGTTCCCCGTGACTGTTTGCTTAGCTCATACTAATAGTTGCTTAAATCCGTTTATATGTTGTCTTACGAGAAGGGCTTTGAGAAAGAAACTGAAAAATTGTTTGTCAAATATTGCCCCTTGGGTATTAAAGAGGTCTTTTCAGAAATCTGGAAGGCATGCATGAACCAATGCAACGATATTAAAATGAGAAAATAATAATTTATATGCAAAATATGTATATAGAATATGTATATATTTTCTCTCTTTTTTTGACACAATTTATTATAAAACGATGTATTATTATTATTACTACTACTAGCTACTACCAATAATACATTAGCCTACATTTAGTTGCATCAATAATTATTCTTTAGAGAGATTGAATTTATTGTCTAATATTAAAGAACAAATTAACGACTAAGCTGAAAATTTTGGGTCTTATATGGGTCATTATGGGTCTTTCTGTAATTTGTAAAAATGAAACAAATGTATGCATGTTTGAAAATGACTATTAAAACAACAACAGACTTGTCTTCTCAAAAATATTGTAAAACAGAAGCATATCCCCAGTTGTGAATAAGGTTGACATAATATGAATAAATCATTATTGATGTAGTCCACTTCTGAGCATATAGTTTCTGCTACATACAGCGGGTACAAGAAGTATTGAACACGTCACCATTTTTCTCAGTAAATATATTTCTAAAGGTGCTGTTGACATGAAATTTTCACCATAAAATGACTGTTCGCTTGGGGTTTTTGATTTGATTTGCGAAAAGCTGGTATTATTTAAATCGGTAGATTCTCTTGATTCATTTCATATTTATTAGCACCGAAGGTGCGTAGGCACGTATTGTATCCGTTGGCCGTCGCCGCCTCTTTCTTCTTCTGCTCGAGTCTATGGCAGGAAATTTATGAAATTTGGTACACTGATAGAGGACAGTCTCATCATTAACCACAGCAAATTTGGTGTCTCTAACTCAAACTCTCTAGCGCCACCACTTGTCCAAAGTTTCACTCATATTTATGCTAATAACTTTTGAACCATAAGGTCTAGAAGAAAAATTTGTTTTCTTCTGAATCCTTGGCTCATGGCAAAATTAAAAATTTGTAAGGTCAAGATTCTTCTGAATTTTTTTAATAGTTTGAAAAACCTCATTTTTTAAAAACCATCCTAGATAGTTTGTCTGATTTTCACCAAATTTGGCTCCGATTATCTTCAGACCATGCTGGCAAAAAGTTCTAGAATTCAAGTTCATCCATCAAACCGTTCTCAAATAACACATGAACGAATTCGACAAAGACCACGCAAAAATGGATGTGAGGCTATATCTCCACAACGGTATTGAGACCAAACTTGGTGTGTGTTATAATAACCATGACCTGAGGCTATCTGCACAGTTTCGGTGCAGTGCCACCTAGTGGTCAGGAGATATGAAAAAAGGCTATTTTTGCTAATAACTTCTGAATGGTTGGGCCACAAACTGGTCACAAAAATGGTCTCTTTAGATTTGGTGCAGCATGCCGAGTCGAACCATACCCAATTTTCCCATGTCAGCCATTTTGGGTGTCGGCCATTTTGGATTTTGTTGTAAAATGTTATATTTTACGAATGCATTGGCATATCATTACGAAACTCGACATGTGTCTTCAGCATCATGCCCTGATGGTACTGAAGAAGTTTCAGAGCAGTGCCACCTTGTGGTCAAAAGTTATAATTACATTTTTTTTAAATGATAACGTTTGAATAAATTGGCCTATTGTAATGAAACTTTATATTCTCAATATATTCTACGGGTCATGCCGAGAACATAGATACCAATTTTGCCATAGTCAGCCGAACTTCCGGTCCACCATTTTGTTGAAAACCTAATTTTTCGAACTCCTCCTAGACCGTTGGTCCAATTTTCACCAAATTTGACTCTTTGAATCTTCAGACCATGCTGGCAAAAAGTTAAGGATTTTGTGTTGATAGTACACAAAAGGTTATTGTTTACCGCATCACCGAATTTGCTGGAATATGATGCCAAATTGCATCTGAGGCTGTATCTCTGTAAAACTTTGACATATTGACACCGAACTTGTGCCATTGTCACCTTACACTGACCACGCCACATCAAAAGCGATTACAGCGCCGCTTATTGGTCAAAAGTGATAAACCATTCATTAACCATTAATAATGAAATTTCCCAAAATTCGAATAACTTTTGATTGCAGTAGCCTATTGTAATGAAACTGGTCTCAACACATTCCTTGGCTTATGCCAACAACATAGATACTAATTATGCCATAGTCGGCTGAACTTCCTGTCCGCTATTTTGATTTTTGTTCAAAACCTGCTTTTTTTTTTAACTCCTCCTAGACCGTTTGTCTAATTTTCACTGAAATTGAGTCAGATCATATTCAGACTGTGCTGACAAAAAGTTATGGATTTCGTGTTGATAGACAAAGTCGTTTTGGAGGCATTATGCCAGACAACGTCTGAGGCTGTATCTCTGCAAAGCTTTGGCATATTGGTACCAAACTTTGTATGTGCCATTGTCACCTCACACAGAACACACCACATTGATTTGATAACAGCGCCACCTATTGGTCAAAAGTGATAAGCCATTAAATCACATTACTAGTGGTTGTTTTTATGATTTTTCAGCCATTTTGAATAAAATCATCTTAAAATGGCTTCAGTTACTCATTGCTACAGTTGGTCTGATGCTTGCTGCCTTGCTTGCTTCTGCACTGCTTGGCCCCTTAATTGCTGCTTGCAGCTTTATTTATTATGAGTAATTGTTCATCACAAATGAACGCACAAAATCTACAACTATAGTAAGCACAAACACTTTTTATGCTATATTTATATATTATGTATTCATATAATATTTTTTATAATATTCATATAATATTTAATTATTAATAATAATTAAATTAATATTTATATATTTCTTTATTAAATATATAGAAATATATTTGATGTTTTATGAAAGTTTATGGACTAATTGTAGATTTCTAAACCACTTTCAAATGAATATGGGAATATTGTCAAAACCATACAAGGTTAAATCATAGATTTTTATTTTCAATTAAACTTTTAAATTAAAGATATATACACTAAACAGGGGTTCTCAACTCTGGCCCTCGATGTCCACTTTCCTGCAGAGTTTACCTCCAACCTTGGTCAAACTCTAGTGATCCTGAAGCCCTTGATGAGCTTGTTCAGGTGTGTTTGATTAGAGCTGTAGCTAAACTGCAGGAAAGTGGACCTCTAGGGCCAGAGTTGAGAAACCCTGCTGTAAGAAATCCGTAAAAATAGGGCAGATGTTTTACCTGTAATTTGAATTTTGTAGTGCATTGCGTTAGTTTTTTTTTTTTTTTTTACAATAGCGTTTTTTTCTGTGATATTCTTTTATTTCTATATAGGAGTACTTTCTGTTGAGGTTCATCCGAGTTTAGGTAACGAATAAACGCAGTAGCTTTTTAAACAGTTTTTGTGTTATATTTGTGCTGTCTATGTATAATCTAATCAAAATAAGTTTCCGTGCTTCATCGAATGGTGATACTGTGAATGTGCTCGAGAAGCTTACTGTTGCCATGATGGTTACATCGCTAACGCTGTTACTGTTCGCGAGCATCTCTTTACCGCCAGGAAAAATTATTGTAATCTAACTTTTGTGATCATTGAAATGTTTTGGAACCCCACTTGAAACGCAGATATAGTCAGACCTACTTATGCATATAAAGACGTACTTAAATCCCCTCCCACATTCCCAAGGGTTTAAACCCCCACAATTCCCACCAGCTGACATACATGTCAAAACTCTCCAACCAATCTTTGCTCAGCAAGGGCGGGTAATACCAAAACGTGTGTATCTATGGATATATATTAGTAGAAGAAGCGCACGGCTGGTGGGCTAACCGCTGAGAAAACCTCTTCTACACAGCTGAACGCTGGCTGAGCGCAGCTGGAACGCGCTATTGGATGCTTAACCATGGGTGACCCTTTCAACAGCAGCAGCAGGGTGTTTAACCGAACCCCTCAGGGTCATGTCACATTTGGAAATCTGGAGGACATAGACGTGACCGCGGACAGAAGCCCGGTCCTAAGGATCATGGTCTCAGTGGTGTACATCTCGTGTGCGCAATAGGCTTAGTTGGGAATTCGCTCGTCCTTTTCGTCATGAGAGTGAAACACTGCAGACAGAGCACCACCATTAATGTGTTCATCATTAATTTAGCTGTCACAGACCTCCAGTTCGTCCTGACGTTGCCGTTTTGGGCGGTGGATACCGCTCTGGATTTCAGCTGGCCGTTTGGAGACGCCATGTGCAAGATCATACTGTCGGTCACTGTGATGAATATGTACGCCAGCGTCTTCTTCCTCACTGCTATGAGCATCACTCGATACTGCTCCGTGGCTTCAGCCACCAAGAACAGTGTCCGTCCCCCAACCTCCTGCTCTGTCAAATGGGTTTGCGCATTTTTGTGGGTCGTTGCTACCGTCGCCACCGCGCCAACGTCTATTTTCTCCACTGTGACCAACGTGGCTGGAGAGAAGCTCTGCTTACTGAAGTTTCCTGCCGGACATTATTGGCTTGCCTTTTATCATTTGCAAAAAATCCTGGTTGCTTTTGTTTTGCCCATGTTGATCCTTTCCGTGTCCTATTTGCTGCTTCTGAGATTTGTGAGAAAGCGAAATCTGAATAACGTTCATTCAAAGCGCAGGATTCATGTCACCAAATCTATCACAGTTGTGGTTCTTTCATTCTTTCTTTGCTGGATGCCGAACCACGCAATTACATTTTGGGGTGTTTTGGTAAAGTTGAACGTGATTCACTGGGATGAGGCGTATTATATTGTCCATACTTATGTGTTCCCCGTGACTGTTTGCTTAGCTCATACTAATAGTTGCTTAAATCCGTTTATATGTTGTCTTACGAGAAGGGCTTTGAGAAAGAAACTGAAAAATTGTTTGTCAAATATTGCCCCTTGGGTATTAAAGAGGTCTTTTCAGAAATCTGGAAGGCATGCATGAACCAATGCAACGATATTAAAATGAGAAAATAATAATTTATATGCAAAATATGTATATAGAATATGTATATATTTTCTCTCTTTTTTTGACACAATTTATTATAAAACGATGTATTATTATTATTACTACTACTAGCTACTACCAATAATACATTAGCC